CCCCACACACTGTGCAAATTTCAACTGGTACATTAAAAACAGTCCAAAATTCAGCACCAGTAATGACCATTTATTTGCCTGTGCCCTTTAGTGGGTGCCTATTGTGGTCTGTGTGTACCTTTTAGTGTTTGTCTTTATCTGGCCATCACCGTCTGTATCAGCTAATGTCTGCATGCCTCCATTCATTATTGAGTGTCTGTCTGTGTTTATCTTTCACAGTCTATGTTCATCAACATGCAGCTGTACATATCTACATATTTCAGCATTCACAGCATGCAAAAAAGCACCCAGCGTGCAAACAACATTCTTCATATGGTCATGGATTTCCATGCTGGCTTCTTATATCCTTATTCTCTACATAATCCACTGTATCTTCAAGATACTGGACAAAATCCTAGCACACGCTATGAAAAGGATACGGAAACTGAGCCTTCCATGTCTTGTATACTGTCTTATTCATGTTATGATTTGTTAATCTCGTTTGATGTAAAATCAGACAAATACTTTTTGTCTCTGCTCTTTTGATTAACTTTGTTACTTTTTTACTAAACCATTTTTAAATCCATATTTGTAAGTCACATCAACACAAAGCGTGGGAGGTCAGGTATGGAGCCAGAATCGTTATGCAATCCAATGTCCTAAGCTGATATAGGCTTTGGTTTTCGCTTTACTATTGTGTTAATGGCAATGTGTACAGATGTGCTTTGTAAGCTGTAATTTATTGCCGAATGTCTGCAAGACACTCTGCTGAAAAATGTTCTGGAAAAAGCGTTGAAATGATTTGTCCTTGTTCTCCTTTTCTGTAACGTTTCACCACAACTGACCTGGGAAATGTAAGGGATACAAAAATGGTGATTTGCTAAATTTTTGGCAAAGATAAGTTATACAACTGAGTTCTTTCAAGTTTCATGAGAATATGCAGTATACAGTATATCTCCCTTACAAGATTAAGTTTTTAAATATGATCGCTGAACTAGACAATTTATTGTATGTGAAGCAAGTGTGTTGAGGGGATAGCGCCTTTAAAAATGCAACGTGTGAACGATCCCCAATATCCCTTTAATGATGTGGCATATAGGTGGTACGGATATTATACAATTTTATTCCTTACTTTGAATTCTAAAGTTGTATTTTGTATCTCAGGGTTCCTTCCTACAACTGGCCAACAAAAAAATTGATGGTGATTTTCATCTTCACCCATAATTAGCATGGCCGCATTCAATGCAACCTCAAACTATTATTGTGCCCCAGAGGTGGCTTGTGTATGTCCTAAATGTAGCAGTTCCTGTGGCCTGCCCATAGATATTTACACAGTTAGATACAACACAGTTCCATTGCCATGGCAACCAACTAATTGGATATGGATATATGCTATTCTATCTATCTATCTATCTATCTATCTATCTATCTATCTATCTATCTATCTATCTATCTATCTATCTAATCTATCTATACAAATCCAATGTAGATATAGGGGCACTCACAGGTCTTGCAGCAGAGATAAATCAAAGCATCAGTATTTTATTCTCAATGTTTTTATAGAGCTCAGTCCATTTTTTTTCAAGACAAGGAGAAAGATGGACTGAGCTCCATCAAAACGTTGACAATTAAATGCTGATGCTTTGACTTATCTCTGCTACAACACCCATGAATGCCTCTATATCTATGCTGGATTTGAATAGATATTTTTGCGGATGTGCACCTGGGCATTTACCTTACAGAGTGCAGTGGCTACCTCTGAGACTATCTATCTATCTATCTATCTATCTATCTATCTATCTATCTATCTATCTATCTATCTATCTATCTATCTATCTATCTATCTATCTATCTATCTATCTCTCTATCTACCTTCCTTGATAGTTATACATATGTTTTACTGGTCATAGACCATGACATGTTTTAGCGTTGTGTTTAAGAGCAATCAGACCTATGAACAGCTTTTGATTGGTTAATATGGGTAAATTCAAATTGGAAATTCTTTTTTTAAAGTATTCAAAAATAAAAACGGATATGTTTCCCTACCAACCACTCATATTTCTCCTTTATTTTAATAGACCTTTACTTTAAAAAAAGATAATTCCATGAGGTTTGGGCAGCAATGGCAGTTCTACATCTTTCCCACTAAGTTTCCTTATCCTTTTTCCCTTATCTCCTCTAAGTAGATCTAGGAGAGGGGTGTAGAGTCATGTAATCCTATCCTCTTTCTGCTGTCCTGATAAATAAAGGTGAAGGAATGCTGCCTTACTAGGACTGAAAGTGAGTTACAGATTCACCGGGT